AAAAAAAAAGACAAAAAAAAGACCTCTACTTTGCCTTAACTACTTGTTTTCATTTATTATTATTATTTTGTTGTTTACATTTTTATCACATTAGTTATGTGTGTGTGTGTGTATGTGCACACATGATCTTGTGGGCCTGCATGGCAACTCATGTATAGAAAACAGCTTGTAAAAATTAGTTCTCTCCTTCCATCATGTGGGTCCTGGGTATCCAACTCAGGTCATCAGACTTGATGGCAAGTACTTTCACCTGCTGAGTCATCTCCCTGGCCCCTGTTGTTTTAAGACAGGGTCTCACTATGTATCCCAAGATAGCCTCAGACTTACTATATATTTCAGGCTGGCCTCAAACTCACAGAGATCCACTTGTCCCTGTCTCCTGAATTTTGGGATTAAAGGAATGTGTTACCACACCTGGCTTGACCAATGAATTTTTTTAAAATTTTGGTCTTTTTGAGACAGGGTCTTCCCTGTAGCCCCAGATGGCCTGGAACTCACTTTGTAGACTAAGCTGGCCTTGAACTTACAGGATAGCCTCAGAATTACTATATATTTCAGACTGGCCTCAAACTCACAGAGAACTACCTGCCTCTGCCTCCTGAGTGCTGGGATTAAAAGCATACACCACCATGCCTGGCTTGAATTTCCTCTTTTTGAAGCATCTAAGTGATTTTCTGTTGTGTTGCTGGTGTTATTGATGTGTTAGAATTTGAAAAGTATTCTAAATGTAATTTGTCAGTGTTAAAGGTTATATTCCTCCAAACTCTGTACCTTGGGTCCTCTTAGTGCTAGAAATTAAACCTAGGACCTTACATGTGCTAGGCAGACCATCTACACTGAGCTACATGCCCAGCCCTGCCTCGACTCTGATTATTACTGGTTTTGTAGGGTGACAAGTTTGTAATCTTAAACTGGGAATGGTGATGTACAGCTGTAACACTGTGGAGGCTGAAGCAGGATAATTGCTGTGAGTTTGAGGTCAGGCTGAGTTATATAATGTGTTCCAGACTGGGTGATAGAATGAGACCCCATCTCAAAAAACCCCCGACAAAGAAGTTTGTAATTTTAATACAATTGATGAATCTGTTGTTCTGTTGAAAAATGTTGCACCCTTCACCCTTCTATCTATAATACCCCAAAGTTGGATACCCAACTTACCCTAGATACCCATCAATACTTGAATAAATTATATTTTCATACAATGAGACATTCAGCCTTAAAACATAGTAATGATACATACTTCAATATCAAGGTTTCAATGGACAAACCTTGAAAATATTATACAAAGTGGGAGAAGGCAAATGTAAAAAGTTCTGTATTGTGTGATTCCCTCCCTGTACATCAAATGTCCAGAGCAGCCAGCTCCATAGAGAGAAAGTAGACCACAGTTGTCAGGCCTAGAGAAAGAAGAGGTAGGGAGGGACTTTTTTTAAAATTAATTTATTTTTATTTATTTATTTGTCTTTTTGAAGCAGGGTCTCCCTGTAGCCCCAGCTGTCCTGGAACTCACTATGTAGACCAGGCTGGCCTTGAACTCACAGAGATCCGCCTGCCTCTGCTGGGATTAAAGGCATGTGCCACCACGCCCGGCATGGTCAGAGTGTTTTGTCACAACAATGAAGAAACAAACCAGGACAGTGTATGAGTGTATTGCCTGCATGTATGTGAGTGCACCTGTGTTGTGCAATGCCGCGGAGGTCAGAAGAGGGCTTCTGACTCCCCTGGAACTAGAGCTAAGGATGGTTCGTAGCCGCCATGTGGGTGCTGGGAATTGAGCCCAGATCCTCTGTAAGAGCAGTCAGTGCTCTTAACCACTGAGCTATCCCTCCAGCCCAGGGAGGGAGTTCTTAATGAAGAAAATTCCTTTTGGGGTGATGAAAATGTTCTGGAACGAGAGAGACATGGTGGTTGTACAATATTGTGAATGCGGACTGGAGAGATGGCTTAGTGGTTAAGAACACTGGTTGTTCTTACAGAAGACCCGGGTTCAAATCCCAGCACCCACATGGCAGCTGACAACTGTCCATAACTCCAGTTCCAGGGGATCCGACAGCATCTACTGTCCTCACGGGCCTTGAATGACATGGGTGCACTTACCTACATGCAGGCAATACATTCATACACACAAAATAAAAATAATAGAATAAAATATTTGAAAGAGCAATATTGTGAATGCAGAAAATGCTGTTTGTCTTAAAATTTTAATTATTTTTATTTATTTATTTTTTGTCTTTTTTGAGACAGGGTCTCCTTGTAGCCCCAGCTGTCCTGGAACTCACTATGTAGACCAGGCTGGCCTCGAATTCACAAAGATCCACCTGCCTCTACCTCCCAAGTGCTGGGATTAAAGGTATGCGCCGCCATGCCCAGCCTTATTTTTGCATTTTAAAAAATTAAATTACATTTTGTTTATTATGGGGGGTGGATTATGCATGTGCCATAGCTTGTGTGTGGAGATCAGAACATAACTTGTGGGAGTTGGTTCTCTCCTTCCACCATGTAGTTCCCAGGAATCAAACTCAAGTTTTCAGACTTGGTGGCAAGTGCCTTCATCTGATGAGTTATCTCACCAGCCCTGTTTCGTATTTTTGTTTTGGCTTTTTTGAGAACAGGGTCTTGCTGTATAGCCCTGGCTCACCTGGAACTTGCTATATAGTCTAGGTTGGTCATGAACTTGTAGCAATCCTGTTTTTGCCTCCTGAGTACAAGAATTATAGGCATGCGCCATCATGTTTGGCACTTCGTTTTGTATTTTTTGAGACAGTGCTTCACTTTGTAGCCCAGGCTGGCCCAGAACTCTCTGTGTATCCTAAGTTGGACTCAACATTATGATCTTCCTACTTCGACCTCTGGTGCACTGGAGTTACTGGTACATGCCACCATGCTTTGATGCTTATGTTATTTTTTATTTGTTCATTTTAATTTGGGGTGGTGGTGACAGGGTCTCCTATATCCCAGGCTGGCCTCAAACTCATTATATAGCCAAGGATAACCTTGAAATTCTGATTCCCCTGTCTCGAATCAAACTGGAATATAAAGAATAAAATGTACTCAAATGTCAAGGTAAAGAGAGCCTCTAGTCACATTTTTAAAAGCTTTGCTGTGCCATCCTGTGTATTTGGCAAAAGTTCACACTGGATTGCTTTTGTTTAACAAAGTCAGTAACATTTATCAAATGCTTTATACATCTCCCACAAAACATGGAACCCTGTTCATGTTGCATCCCTAACCCTCACATCCATACTCTTAAGTGTGTTTTTATTTTATTATTCTTGGATGTTTTAAGATAAGGGATTAGAGGCTCAAGGAGATTGTGAAACATGTGAACAGTTCTCATGGAGGAGGAGGCTACCTGAATGGTTTGTTGTGTGTTGGGATGCTGTGTGGCAGCCCATCTTGGTTTCCCCACCTCTGACATAAGGAACCCAAGCCTGTGCTGAGCCCAGGATGCTAGAGCTGCTGGTCTGTAGTCAGAATTCCAAGCTCTGGGCACATTCTGAACCTAAGTAGCTGGGTTGAGCTCAGAGGGCTATCTGATCACTGAAGCAGAAGGCCAAGCTGGGTGTCTGTACACTCTTCGTCAATAAAAGGTGACCCTGGAGGGCTATTAACCTTGTGAGTTCAGATTCACTGTTTAAAACTCTATAATGAAGTAGACTTGGTGCCCACATAGGAAGGCTCATTTCTTGTCACAGGAGTTCAGGACATGATAGAGAATATAAGATTAATTCTGTTACTACTGTGGGCGAGTTGTTCTTCCCTGGAGGCAAGAACACCCAGTAGAGAAGGTGGGTTCCAGATAGTGTCTGTGAACCCGACCTAGCCTTCTGGCTGACTGAGTGACAGGACTGATAAGATCCAGCATCCACATGGCCTCTTGACCTGCCCAAGGGAGACCCAGTAGGGAGCAAGTTTCCAAAAGTTCCTCTCCTTCTAAAAAAAGCGGTTATTTAAATTTGACATGAGGATTTATTGCTGTAGGGCTTTAGCACAGCAGAGTCTAAGGATGTTCCCTGCAAAGCTGAGCCTGGCCCCGATGCTTCACTGGCAAGATTCAAATCCTACTTCTGGTGGAGAAATTTGAGGTCTACCACGGGGTCCACTGACCCACAGACCAAGGTGTGACCACGAACTCTAATTGCTCTAACAGCTGATGGTGTTTATTAGCAACGATGTGGACAAGCATGGGTGCTGAAGTGACACCTATGGTTGTTCTAGGACTCCTCTGTCCAGTGTTCTCAGTTTCTGGTGAGGCAGCCTGGAAGTACACAGAGTTCTTTAGAATGGGATCTGGTGATTTCCTGAACCTTGCATTTTCACTGCTTGCTACTATTTTAGAGTTGGTGGTGATAGAGAAAATTGAACTCAGGGCCTTGTGCATGCTGGCCAAGTGCTCACCACTGACCAACATCCCCAGCCTTCTTTTTACTTTTTTTTTGGTCTTTTTGAGACAGGGTCTGCCTGTAGCCCCAGCTGTCCTAGAACTCACTATGTAGACCAGGCTGGCCTTGAACTCACAGAGATCCACCTGCTTCTGCCTCCCGAGAGCTGGGATTAAAGGCCTGCGTTGCCATGCCTGGCTTTTTTGGTCTTTTTGAGAGAGGGTCTCTCTGTAGCCCTAGCTGGCCTGGAACTCACTCTGTAGACTAGGTTGGCCTTGAACTCAGAGATCTGCCAGCATCTTGGACTAAAGGGGTGTATTACCACACCTGGCTTTCCTATTTATTTATTTATTTATTTATTATTTATTTATTTATTTTTGGTCTTTTTGAGACAGAGTCTCCCTGTAGTCCCAGCTGTCCTGGAACTCAGTATGTAGACCAAGCTGGCCTTGAACTCACAGAGATCTGCCTGCCTCTGCCTCCGGAGTGCTGGGATTAAAAGCGTGCACCACCACACCAGGCTTAGTACTTTTTTTAGGCAGCAAGTCTTCCTGTAGTCCCAGCTGGCCTGGAACTTGCTATGTAGACCAGGCTGACCTCAATCTCACAGAGCCCTACGTGTCTCTGCCACTCAAGTGCTGGGATTAAAGGCATGAGCCATCATGCCTGCCATTTTACTTTTTGAGACAGGGTCTTACAGAATTGCCAAGGCTGGCCTTAACCTTCTCTGTAGCTGGGGCTGGTCTTGTGATCCTCCTGCTTCAAGCCTACATTGGTAGCTGGGATGACAGCCCTTCACCACCAAGGCTGGCTGTTACTATTAATAACAGAAAATTAAAACTTTGAATGCTCTTGTGAAGACTACTGGCAAGAAGTGCCCACTTCTAAGAATATAGCTGAGGGAACAGTGGGGCTCCTCCAAGTTTGGGCCTTCCCCTACCCCAGAGATAATCACTGGAATCCTAAGGCCTTGGCTAACAGGGTAGCTGAATGGCTAGGGAAAACAGAGGAAGGTCTGGGCCACAGTCCAGGCCCAAGTGTCCCTGCACCCATCCACTCCCAGTGTCTCATGGGAAGGTCTCATGACTGCTGTTAGTCATCTCTCAGGCATCTGGCTCCTATGTCTCCATCTGCTTCCCTCCCAGACTCACTTTCTCCCTCTGACTCCTAATTTTCATTCTACAGACACCACTGGGAAGCGAGGGAGAACTCACAAACTTTATTATACAAAAAAATCAATAGACACAAGAAAAAAGGCTTGCAAAATCTGTGTCAGAGGATTCTACCTTCCACATAACACATCAAAAACCATCAGATGGCAATCAGGGAAGCAATTATCACACTGGCAAATACTCAGATGACACACTTCTCACTCTTATGAATAGCTAAAGAACAGTAAAAACAACGGAAAACCCCAAAACGCATCAATACTACTATTTTCCTCTTTGTAAAGTTTGGAAACAAACGAATGCTTCGCTGTCTTTGTGCTTCCCAGGTTGGTGTGAACCTGTGGTCCAGGAGAACTTCTTGCGTTGACCACCGCACCAGTTCTCACATTTTAAAGTTTAAACTCTTTGTTCAAAACAAGTGTATTACTTTAAAACAAAAGACACCCTCCTGGAAGGAGATGCAGAGCATGCTGGCTTCCTGAACGCGCCGCGCATGCGCACAGGCCCAGCCTCGGGGCTGCGCTTCCTGGAGGCATCGCGGAAGTCTCGCGAGCGCCAGGACGCGTTTGTGCGGAGACTTTTGCTGGGGGGGGGGGGGGGGTGTCCGTGGGTTTCCCCGTGGACCGTAGTCAGCCCCGGCGGTCCTGGGGCCCTGCGTCCCCCTCCCGGCGCTTCCCGCAGGCTCCCGACCCGGCCCTCGCAGCATGGGGGACAATACCAGCCCCATCAGCGTGATCCTGGTGAGCTCGGGTAGCAGGGGCAATAAGCTGCTCTTCAGGTATCCCTTCCAGAGAAGCCAGGAGCACCCAGCGTCACAGACAAGTAAGTGGCGCCTGGTCGTCCGTCAGGACACCTCGGTGCAGAGGAGAAAAAGCAAACGGGAGAGACATCGTTCCGGATTCTCCGCACAGCAGCTGCTGCTAACCTTTCGTCAGCCTCCAGCCTCTTAAAAACACAGTTTAAAAAATATGTAAGACTTGACATGTGTAGTGGTGCACATCTGTAATCCTAGTAGGAGGCTGAGGCAGGAGTATTGTCCCGAGTTCAAGGCCAGCCTGGGCACCTGCGTGACACCCTTTTCTTAAAGCAAAACGAAACAAAACAAAAAGAATACCTGGCCTGGTGGTGCCTGCCTTTACTTCCTGCATTCGGGAGGCAGAGGCAGGTGGATCTCTGAGATCCAGGCCAGCTGGGCCTACAGGGACACTCTGTCCCATCCCACCCCACAAAAGACAAAGCCAAATTGTACATATGCATATATATATATATATATGCATATAAACACATGCGTACACAGGCATATGCATTTATCCATTTGGAAAATGTAAATTACAATAAGGTCTGAAGTTGCCCTTGAACTCTGCTTCTCACCCACTGTAGAGTAACCAGCCACTCAACATTTTGGTAATCATCCCTCCTGGATGTAAACCCCAAAAGTTTATTTGCTGAAAAATAAAATACTGCATGGGGGATTTTTTTTCTTCACAGCAATGTGTCTCACAACGCTCTTTTTCATATTGAACCATTTGCTTTGGAGCCTCCTCGATTTCCTGAGCTCACCTGCCTCTCTTAGTTGTGGTCCACTGCTGCACAGGAACATGGCCTTCCCCTGTGGGTCAACATTATTCTTAAAACTTAATACGGTACAGAGGGTGTTACATTACAAAAATAAAGTTGGTATCCTGCTCTCAGGAGCCCTCCTTCCCCTAGAGAGGAAAGTACTGTCACCATTTCCTCTGCGTCTCTCCAGAACCTTCTGTGTAAACGCAAGCATAAGCACACATTATGTTCTAAGTACAAGTGAAAACACACTGCTTGCCCATTTTCCTTTGTATTTTGTATCTACAGCTTGCATATGGAATCAACCTTGTTGATTCATTAAAAAGGCATTGTTCTTTTTAATGGCTGCAGTGAATTCCATGAGATGTGCATAGTATGATTTATTCATCTAGTCTGTTAATTGGCATTCCCCCCACCCCAGACTTTTGCTGATGCAAACTGCACATGGGGGCTATGACTCAGCATGTAAGAACACTTGCTCTGCAAGCATGAGGACCTGAGTTCAAATTCCCAGCACCCAGGGGAAAAAAAACAGGCATGGCTATGGTGCTTGTAATCCCAGTATTGGGGGGCAGAGATGGCATATCCTCAGAGCTCCCTGACCAGTCAGCTTACCCTAAATGGTGAGCTTTGGTGAGCTTCCAGTTCAGTGGAGAGACCCTGTGTCAAGGCAATAGGGTGGAGAATGATGAAGGAAGACTCTTCACACCTTACTATGGCCACCACATGTGTATTCATGGGTGTGTGCATCTGCATACTCATGTGCATGCACAACACACACAAAACCCCCCACAAACTGCAGATGTCCTTTCTGTATTATTTTGCAGAATATCTGTAGGAACAAATCTTAGAAGTCATATGGCTGAGTCTGAAGGATAAAACATCGTTTTTTTTTTTTTTTTTAGGTCTTTTTAAGACAGGGTCTCCCTGTAGCCCCAGCTGGAACTCTCTATGTAGACCAGGCTGGCCTTGAACTCACAGAGATCCGCCTGCCTTTGCCTCCCAAGTACTGGGATTAAAGGTGTGCGCCGCCACGCCTGGACTAAAGTATTGTTTTTTAAAAAATATTTATTTTTATTTTATGTGTATGAGTGTATTGCCTGCATGTATGTGAGTGCACCTGTGTCATGCAATGCCTTGGAAGTCAGAAGAGGGCTTCAGATTCCCCTGGAACTGGAGTTAAGGACAGTTCATAGCTGCCATGTGGGTACTGGGAATCGAACCTTGGTCCTCTGCAAGAGCAGTCAGTCTCTTAACCACTGAGCCATCTTTCCAGCCCCGATAAGTATCATGTTTTTCTTTTTTTTTTTGGTCTTTTTTTGAGACAGGGTCTCCCTGTAGCCCCAGCTGTCCGGGAACTCACTATGTAGACCATGCTGGCCTTGAACTCATAGAGATCTGCCTGCCTCTGCCTCCCGAGTGCTGGGATTAAAGGCATGTGCCACCACTCCCGGTGATAGTATCATGTTTTAAGTAGATTAATTTTCAGTCTTTATTAATCTAATGATTAAAAAGTTGTGTCTGATAGTTTTATTGTACATCTGTCTTATTAAGAGTAAGCACATTTTTCTGTTTTCAGAGCTGTTTGGGCTTCCTTGGCAGTGAATGAATGACCTTTTCATATCCTGTGCCTAGTTTTTTTCTTGCTTTGTTAATTTTTCCTTATAGGCTGAAGAGCTCTTTATATATTTACATTAAAAAGTAGGATTTTTGCAACAAAGCTGCAAATATGTACTCAGTTTGCTTCTGAGTTCTTGCCAGAGTTTTGATTTTTTTTTTTTTTAAATGCAGTTTTTGGTCTAGTCTGTTGTGGTTTCTGAGTTTTGTTACCTATAAGGCCTTCTGCTCCCATGGTCTTCCTGTAGCCACAGCTGGCCGGGAACTTACAGAGATCTGCCTGTCTCTACCTCCCAACTGCTGGAATTAAAGTCCTGGCCACCAAACCCAGCTGTTTTTGTGTTTTGAGACAAGGTTTCACTCTATTCCAGGTTGATTTGGAATTTGCTATGTAGACTAGGTTGGCCTGGAACTGGCAGCAATCTTCTTAGCTATGTTTCCTGAGTACTAGGATTACAAGTGTGTGTCACCACAAACTCTCCTATGTTTTTAGAATTTTATTGTCTCATTTTTAAATAAAATTTATTAATTGTGATAGAAGGTAGAGGCTCCTAAGAGCTGCTATGATCTGGACACTTGCTGAGAGTTGTGTGTGTGTGTGTGTGTGTGTGTGTGTGTGCGTGTGTGCGTGTGCGTGTGTGCGTGTGCGTGTGCGTGTGTATCTGGTTGCCTCTGGAGCCCTGTGGAAGGGGAGCTCTGAGAGGCCAGGATGTGACCACAACTGGGAAGTAGTTGGCTTAAGAGCCAACATAATTTGATTATAATTTCCTATATGGCTACATCATTTTATTGAATAATTCACCTTGCCTCTACCATATGCTAAATCCCAGTGCTTATTTGGGTGTACTTTTTTAGACAAGGTCTCATGTAGCCCAGGCTGGCCTCCAACTCTTTATGTAGCTGAGGGAGTCCTTAAGCTTCTGATCCGCCTACCTCTATCTCCAGAGTGCTGAAATTACAGTCATGTGCCATCTTATGCTTTTATGAGGTGCTGAAGATTGAACCCAGGGCACTGTGCATGCTAGGCAAGTGCTCCACCAACTGAACTACATCCCTAGCCTCCTTTCTTTTCTCTTTATATTTTATTTTTTGGTCTTTTTGAAACAGAGTTTCCCTGTAGCCCTGGCTGGCTTGGAACTCACTATGTAGACCAGGCTGGCCTTAAACTCACAGAGATCCGCCTGCCTCTGCTTCCCAAGTGCTAGGACTACAGGCATGTGCCACAATGCCTGGCTTTAAAACCTATTTACATGTGGGTCTCACACCATTGATTTTGTTTTGTCACGTTACACTGTGTTATATTTACTAAAGGTGGAATTAATCACTTGTCATGTCTTCTTTTACCCCCTTCAGTATTATCCTGGCACATTTTGATTACTTTTCACTGGCAACTTTAATATGAAGTGTATTAGCCCCAGTTCTCAAGCTGTTGTTTTATTGCAGGTAGCTCTTTTTTTTTCTTTTCTTTTTTTTTTTTCTTAAAGTCTTTTTGAGACAGGGTCTGCCTATAGCCCCAGCTGACCTGGAACTCACTATGTAGACCAGGGTGGCCTCAGTCTCACAGAGCTCCTCCTGCTTCTGTGTCCTGAGTGCTGGCACTAAAGATGTACGCTGCCATGCCTGTCTCCTTTTTCATACTTTTTGAAACCAGAATATTTATGTGTGACTGCTGAGATTCTAAAGGTGAACTGGATGTTGTAGTAACTGCCTTCTTAGATTTAGGTGTTGTTCCTTCATGAAATCCTTGCTTGAATCTGCAATAGATAAGTTTTCAAAATTTTTATATTTTTATTATTTTTTTAAATGCTTTTTTTTTTTTTTCTTTTTTCGGTCTTTTTGAGACAGGGTCTTCCTGTAGCCCCAGCTGTCCTGGAACTCACTATGTAGACCAGGCTGGCCTTGAACTCACAAAGATCCACCTGCCTCTGCCTCCTGAGTGCTGGGATTAAAGGTGTGGGCCACCACACCCAACTAAAAAATTTTTAAAAAGAGAATGTTTGTACATAGGAAAGGCATGTTGTGTACATTAAAAAATTTTTTTCTTTTTCTAATTACCATCATACACTGAAGATGTTTGTGTGTACTTGTACATACATACATACACACACACACACACACAATATTTATATAAATCCTTTTGAAGATTAACAGCCAGGGGCTAGAGAGATGGCTCAGCACTGAAGAGTCCTTCCTGGTCTTCCAGATGATTCAGGTTTGGTTCCCAACACCCATATTAGGTGTTCACAACTGCCTGTAACTTCAGCTCCAGAGAATCTGACTTCTCTTTTGGCCTCTGCAGGCACGTGCACAGAAACAGACACATAGACACAGACACACACAGACACACTTAAAAATAAGTCTTTAAAGGGGCTGAAGAGATGGCTCAGTGGTTAAGAATGCTTGCTGTTCTTCTAGAGGACTCAGGCTTGATTCCCAGCACCGACATGGCGACTAACAACTGTCTGTAAATCCAGTTCCAGGGATCCGACATCCTCTTCTGGCTTCTGTGAGCTTTGTGCAACACAGGTGCACTTAACCTACACGCAGGCAAAACACTCATACACATTTTTTAAAAAAGCCAGGCATGTTGGTGTATGCCTTTAGTCTCAGCACTTGGGAGGCAGAGGCAGGCAGATCTCTGAGTTCAAGGCCAGGCTGGTCTACATAGTGAGTTCCAGGACAGCTGGGGCTACAGGGAGAGACCCTGTCTCAAAAAAAGTTGAAAAAAAAAAAAAAAAAAAGAAAAGAAAATTAGTAGCCATAGCTGGCATGGTGGCCCTCTTTGTAATCCTAGGACTAACCCTAATTTCTAACTCTCAGGAGGTGCATTAGGAGTTCATGGCCAGCCTCAGATATGTAGAGAGTTTGAGACCAGCCTGGGCTACATAGTGAGACCCTGTCTTAGCCTCTTCTTTCCAAATAGTGGTGAAACCATTTCCCCTTGTTGTCATAACTTCTTGGAAGCCATCTTATTTTGTCCCCCTTGCTCCACAGGGAACCAGGCCTCATACATGGTAAGCACTACCACTGAGCTACATACATTCCTAGCCCCTGAAAGTTTTTTTTAATTACAGCATAACATATAACATGAAATTTGCCATTTTAACAATTTCAAGTATATGATTAAGTAACATTAATTGCATCCTTTTTATTGTGAAACCATCACCAATATCTATTTCCAAAACTTTTTAATCATCTAAAATAAAATTCTAGAACCTTTAAGTGATAACTCGTATTTTCCCTTGTTCCCAGCCCTTGCTAATATCCAGTATACATTCTGTCACTATGAGTTTGCCTATTCTAGATTTTTTCATATAAGCAATATTTGTCTTTCTGTATGAGGCTTACTTCATTCAGCATGAAGTTTTCAAGATTCATGAATGTTTATTCTTCTTTACAGCTGAATAGTATCCCATTGTGTAGACATTGGAAGCCATGACACCACAATCTTCCTGTGTGTAGAGAGAGCCTGCTGTCTTAGCCATTTTTTTCCCTTTTGTCTTCACTCAGATAAACCACGTAGCAGATATGCTGTCAACAACACAGGCGACCATGTTGATGACCAGGATGGTGACTCTAGGTAAGGGCTCTCCAGTCATTCTGGGTAGGGTGGATGGTTCTGTTTGCATACCTGGGCAGAGCTCTACCTTCCTGTTGATCTAGATATTTGTCCCTCTGAGAAATTTGGTGGCTTTTTTCTCTATTTAGTGGGTGCTTTCAGGTCGTGCAGAGCTGGGGCTGCACTGCCAGTTCCTGATTTGCTGAATAATTTTGGCTCATATAGCAGCCGTGGGCAGTGTGGTCGGTAAAGCAGTCTGAGACTGGAGTAGACCATGTCCATGTAGGACGTTTTCCTGCTATGAGAGGATTTTAGAGGAAAGTAGACTCCTTTGCTGTTCTCAGACCTAATTCTTGAGCTTGTGCCCAGTCGTCAGAGGCAGACACTCAGGACAGTACAGCCTGGGCAGGTTCTTTCTCAGGTGGCGGTGGTAGTGATAGGTGGGATCTAGGACTGCTTTGACTCTTGGCATGCCTTTAGGCCCAGATAAAAGACAAGCCCTGTTTCTTCCTGTGTTTGCTCCTGTTATATCTAGGAGGTGCTATCAGGGTAGACATTCATAAGTGACCACTTCTGCCTCCTTATATTCATTTTAAAGGTTAGTAAATGACAAGATAGGTCCAGATAAGCAAGAGAAGATTATAATTTTTTTGTCTTTTTTTTGTTTGTTTGTTTTTGGAGCTGAGGACCGAACCCAGGGCCTTGCGTTTGCTAGGCAAGCACTCCACCACTGAGCTAAATCCCCAACCCCAAGAAGATTGTAATTTACTTGCTCTGGATTCCCGGAAACATAGACAGGGCCCATGTGAGGCAGAGGAGTGGGCTTTCACTATCCCAGGAAAAAGAAGCTGCAACTCCCACACTAAATCTTTGCAGTACAGTGATTCAATGCTAATTCCTTTAAGTTCTTTGAGAAGGCACCATATCCACCATAGTGATTTACAATTCCAAAAGTGTGTGGATTTTTTTTTTCTTGTTTGTTTTTGTTTTACTTTGTTTCTTTTTAGTTTTTTGAGGCCAGGTCTCCTGTAGCCCAGGTTGGCCTCAGACTCCCTATGTAACTGGAAATGACCGTGAACTTCTGATTCTCCTGCCTCTGCGTCCAGAGTGCTGGGATTATAGGTGTGTATCACTATGTCTAGTTTTATGTGGTGCTGTGCCTTGAACCTAGGGCTTCCTTTATGCTAGTCAAGCACTTTACCTTCTAAGCCACACCTCCAACTCCAAAAGTGTAGTTTTTATCCTCCAAAAGTGTAAGAATGGTAGGAGTGACTTTTGGACAAGGTTGGCAGGTGGGGTGGCCTGAAGGTAGAGGATTGTTGACTATCCCAAGGGATGGTCTTAATCTAGAGACCTGCAGCTATTTTGCCCTTTAAAGATTGTGGCTTGGAATAAATTTGTCTGTCATAGGCACACAGAAAGCTTTTGCTCCAGCTGGTTGTGTTGGCCTGTAATAATAGCACTTGGGAGGGGGAGGCAGGAGGATCAGGGATATGAAGCCAGCCTAAGCTCCATAGTGGGGCTGAGGCTAGCCTGGACTACATGAGATCCTGTCTCAGAACAAAACAAAACAAAAATGTTTACCCCTGCTCATTGGGCAGGTGTGTCTTGTCTTCCACCTCTGTTGCAGGTTATTGTGGAGCAGGCTGCCCTCCCATCCTCCTCCCTCCAAACTTTATTGGACATGAGGCCCTAAGTCTTAGAACAGATTTTATAGAGGGATTTCCTAGGGAGGCCAACAGCATCTCATTCTTGCAGTTGATTTTCAGAGACTTATAATGAAATTATCATATTTTGGTATTTAACATTACAAAAAGAGAAAACTATGGGAGGAGAGTGCTTTCTCTAGATTCTTTGACTGAATCTAAGAATTGCTTTATTTGGTAATTCTAACACATTATAGCATCTATTGACCCACTGCCTAGCCCTATGTCTTCAAGATGCAGGTTAATACTGTTTGGGGTCCAGTTCTCTGCTAGGCCCCTGCTTTGCCCTGCCCTCATCCTAGCTCAGAGCTTTCTGAAGCAGTGTAATCCTGCTGCAAAGCCCATTCTTTGTGTCTTCCTTGATTGTTCTCAAAGGTGCTTTTCTAGAACTCAGGATATTCCTGTTTGTCGGTTTTCTAGATAAAGACTTAACTGAGTGGTGGTTATCTGCCTTATATAAATGAGGGCCAGACTGTGCTGCTCAGGATTATAGGCACTAGCCAGTGTGGCTATTTAAATATAAATACTTTGATTCCCAGCATTTCATAAACTTGGCATGCTTGCTTAATGTGTGTAATCCCAGCACTTGAGAGGTGTAAGCAGGAGGATCAGAAATTCGAGGTCATCTTTAGCTACATGCTACTCTGGTTAACCTTGGCTACATGAAACCCTGCTTCAAAACAAAACAACAACAAAAATCAATCAACAACAACAACAAAAATCAATAAATAGAAATTCTCTGGAAAAAAAAAATACCCAGCTCCTTAGTCCTCATACCCTCACTTGAGGTGCTCAGTGGCTATGTGGAGCTAGTGGCTCCATATTATATATGCACATTTGGAATGTATCCATGACTGTAGTAGGTTCTGTTGGGTAGCCCTTTGTGACTTGTTTAGTTTTAGTAGATAAAGTTGAGAAAGTTTTTGAGAAACATTTTAACTCTTCGATAGCTAATGAGCTGAAGTGTGCATTGCTGGGGAAGAGTTCTTTTGTTATATATGTCTTTTTCATGAGTCCTAAGCAGTGTGTTCTTGGTGAGAGCAGGCTGGATGGTGATCCCCAGGGATGTGGCACAGTGGTCCTGGTAGGGCCCACATGTGGGTTTCCATGGTTGCTTGGAAAGCAGCATTGATCCAGAATAAAACTCTTCACAAGGACATAAAATTTCAAACTCATTCTCAGAACCCAAGTTAGATAGTACAGAAGCCCGAGATGTTTTCTGACAGCAATGTATATGGATCTACTGTAATCCCTCACTCCAAGTAGAGGTCAGTCAGTGTGCAGTGGTCACGGTACTTCAAGAACTGGGTCTGATGATCCTTGTGTGACAGTGCAGTCTCAAAAGGCTTTTATCTCTGGGCATCTTATTTGGTTCTATGTAGACAGTTTCTTGTCATACAGATGAGAAACCTAATCTTTGGAAGATTAGATATTAGTACCCAGGTGTTCAAACCAATTCTTAGGGCATTAGAGTCTGGCCCTCCAGTGTTCTGCTTGATTCTGAATAGTGACTAATTCTCTCTTGAGCTTTAGTGAGAAGAATCCCTTGGTAAGTGTTCATCATGGGGTATATGCCCTCTTTCTTGTCTGGTAAGTTACTTGATTCAGCTAATACTTTATACTGGTACTTTTGCCAGACTTTAGTACTGTTTTTATAAGACAACCTTGTAACTTCATGATTTTTAAGAAACAATGTTTTGTTTGGTCTTGATGGTCCTGTTCCCATTTCAGCGAGCCATGTCCTCCAACCGATGAGCAATTGGTTGCAGGGTAAGACCAAGACCCCTCACCCCTTTTCTGTCTTCATTCCGGCTGCCTTCTCTTCTTGTAATTGTGCTTAATTCCTAATTTCCCTCAGTGTTGAAGAATGACTAACGAGGTGCACAGGCACTAGCTTGGAACCCTTCCTTCCCCTAAAGAGCCCAGATTTCCCATGCCCCCCACATGTCTCCACCCAAACTTATTTAGCTATTTTACATCATCTGAGAGCCTAAGCACAAGAGCAACTTCTATTACCAGGTGTGTCATGTGAACCCTCCTTTCCCAAATAGGAACTAGTAGTCCTGTGATGTTGGCCTGCCAACATCAACATGTATGGGGTGTCTTGTCTTTTTATCCCATTGCCACACCAAGAGACCTGCGATCATTTTTTTCCTGCCTTGAGTTTTCAGAGGGTGTGTGTGTGTGTGTGTGTGTGTGTGTGTGTGTGTGTATCAATTGTGTTTGAGTGTTAAGTTAGATACTCAGGCTTACATAATACTGAATATACCCAGTAGTGACAAAAGTGTTTCCATTAAGGTGCTATGTCCTCCTGACAATGCACCTGCTGTGGGCCTTGGATGTGTATGCAGTATGTGTGAGCTCCCATCAAGAGTCAAGTTGAGGGTCTGGAAAGATGGCTCAGTGATTAAGAGCACTGGCTGTTCTTGCAGAGGACCTGAGTTTGGTTCCTAGCACCCACATGGCAGCTCACAACCAGCTGTAACTCAAGTTCCTCTTCTGGCTTCCTCAGGCATTGTACGCATAAGTACACCTACACAGCAGGCAAAATACTCATAAACATAAACTAAAAATAAATTATTAAAATAAAAAAGATGCTGGGCACAGTGGCTCACGCCTTTAATCCCAGCACTTGGGAGGCAGAGGCAGGCGGATCTTTGTGAGTTCAAGGCCAGCCTGGTCTACATAGTGAGTTCCAGGACAGCTGGGGCTACAAGGAGACCCTGTCTCAAAAAGACAAAAAATAAAATAAAATAAAATAAAATAAAGAGGCTGAGGGTGTAGAGTTGGGGGGCTTCCTAGGATAGCCATATAAGGCATTATGTTGTAACTTTAGCAGCACACAACTTTCCTATCTCTGCGAATTGGGCCCCTTAGAGGGGAAATTTTTTATTTTATTCCTCTAAGGGCACATTTGGTTATTTATAGATGTAAGCTAGGATACCATTGCTTGCCTCTGGGAATCCCAGGACTCATCCCACAGCCAGGGCAATTTAGGTCTGAGGGCTGGAGCTGAGGTATGACTGTAGCTCTTCATGACAGAGCAGGGGTTTTTGGTGAGGATTTTTGACTGTCAAGGAGCAGATGAACTTACTGGAGTGATTAAGGGTGTTCTGCCTGCCACTTTTGTGTCCTGTCACTATGTAGAGTCACTGTTTAGATATGATGTATCATTTGCAGTGAATCAGAGCAGAAGTGTTTGGTAGGTTTTAATATCCTGAACCTTCTTCCACATCACTGTGTCCCTCAGATAGGCATAACAGGGTAGAGTAAGATATGTAGTTTTTTTTTTTTTTTTGGAAAAAAACTTATAGTATCTTTGGTTTAAGATGCTAGATTCTTCCATACCATTCCAGACATAAGTGTTTCAGGTAAAGAGAGACCAAGGACTTGGCTATGGGTTCTGCAGACTCCAGAATGTCACTGACAAGATTAATGTCGAAGATTTGACTATCCCCTCACTGCAGAGGGCAAGGAAGCCCATTCTTTTTTTTCCCGTTTTTTTTTTGAGACAGTCTCCCTGTAGCCATAGCTGGCCTGGATTGGATTTGCTATGGACACCAGTCTGGCCTTGAACTTACCGAGATCCACCTGCCTCTGCCTCGCAAGTGCTGGGATTAAAGGCATGCATCACTATGCCCAGCAGAAGCCCATTCTGACCAACTCTCTGCATCTGGTTTATTTGGGGGCCCAGAAGCCCTATGGCAGATAGAGGATCCTGCTAGTTCTGCAGAATCCCTGGAAATCAGTGCAAGCCCTTCAGGCTTTAGCAGCTGAGACCTTCTCACTGGCCTGGGTAGTTTTGTAGAATTCTGCAGGTGCTTGTCTTGAATTTTGACCTTGTGTTAATTGAGGCTCTTGTTCTAGACTGCTTCCAGGTTGTCTTTCTTCCAATCCTGCTTTGTGTAGGGTTTCCTGGAATGAATGTCCCCTCCTCAACCTTTTGTATCCCAATGACATTTTCTGTTTCAGAGTGAGCTACAGCAGCAGCCTGAAACTGATGTTCCTTTTTTATTACACAGCAGAGGGGTTATGATGTTAATCTGTCCCCCCTTCTCCCAGCTGAGAATGCCTCTAGAAGAAACATGCCTGAGGTCCCACATGGGCATGTCTATCCCAAATGGTCTCTTTCAAGACTGTGGGAGTCTCCCTACCCAGGGCTGAATCTGGTCTTGGTAGAGCTACCTTTGAGGAACTCCCTACCCAGATATTAGAAATGCTTTCCTTGGTGGATAGGTGAGCATAGGTCTTCTCTCCCTTCAGGGCCAGATTAGAAACAGTGCCTGTGTTTCTAGAGTAGAGGCCCTAAAGCCCTGGGCTCTGAGATAAGAGGCAACACCAGGACCCAGTACTCTCCACCCTGCAGACAACTCACTTATCCAGATCTCCCAGACAGGGAGGACCAGGGTTTCCAGCAGAGAGACAAGGAGGTGTACCTTGGAAGGAGTAAGCTCTCATACCCCAGCCATTCCCCATGGCACTCAGTTCTGTGCATCCTTGTGCTCCTGTAACACAATGGGTCTGCATGCCTTGTACAAAATTCTCTCAATAAAAAGTGCGACATTTAAAATTCAGGATTAGGGAAGGGCTGGGCAGCTATGCCAGGAGGGAGGTAGTTAGCACACATACACATCACTGAGTGCTGGCCCTCTGTCCTTTACATGGCCCTGTCAAGGAGGGGCTAGAGTCCTGAAGGTTGAGGGGTACAGTTCGGCAAACCTGAGTATAGTCAGGAGAGGCCCCTCTGCCTGTGAGCTTTACTGAGTGGCTCCTGAGGGCAGTGCCAGCTCCAGCTGATCTTCCTTTTAGATGCAAACTGCAGCTGTTTCTCTCCTAATTTCATACAGCATGCAAGAAATGACAGCATGTGCCTTTAGTCTGTGCTTCTCCTGCCTTTTACCTGTAATTCTGGTGATTTTACATCCCTAACCTTGGGATTGCTACAAGAGAGCCACTGATGGATGTGTCCATCTGCATCGGGGACAAAGTAGCTCCACAGAACTGCCGTTTCCTCTTGGGTACCTGGGCATGGTATTATGATATTTTGTTAACTTATGTCCATCCTACTTTTTAAAAAAATTTAAGGTTTTCAGATGTTATTCTGGCAACAATTTTGGCAACGAAGTCTGAAATGTGCGGCCAAAAATTTGAACTGAAGATTGATAATGTGAGGTTTGTTGGACATCCGACGCTGCTGCAGCATGCTCTGGGGCAGGTATGACCCTCAGGCAGGTATGGTTTTCCCTGGGCTGGTGGGCCTGGCCTCTTCTGGCACTAGGGTCTCAAAACTGCTGACACTGACTCTGATGAAGTCACCATTGGGCAGCAGACCTGATCTGTCACCTGCCATGAGTTGTATATTTTCTTAGGCCCTTAGGGTCCAGCAGAGAAAGACAGGTTGTCTTCACCCCCAGGAGCTTTGGTTTCTGCTACTGGCTTTTTTTTTCATTTGGTACTGGAATGGAACCCAAGGTCTTACACATGCTATGTGAGTGTAATACCACTGAGCTACATCCCTAGTCCTCTGTTGTTAGCCTTTGCTGTCTACATTCTGTCTGGGTCTCTACAACTGTGGCCTTTCCTTTTATATATAGGGAGTTGTTTCCAGGGGAGCCCAAGAGAATGAGTTAACTATCAACTGTCAACCCCTGAACTTCCTACAAATGGTACAAGATTTTCCTTTAAATGATATTCTTTTTAGCACTTACTCTTGTGCTAACCCTTCTGTACACATTCTCTGATGATTATTACAATACTGAAAAGGGTCAGCAAGGTGGAATGTGCTCTTACCCAAAGGAGCTTGTATACTAGAGCAGCCAGTCAGCCCTTTGCATACAGGATCCATGACAGCAATGCTTAAATTCAGAGGGATTTCAGTATGGTATATATAGGACTTAGCTATATCTGTACCATCTAGAAATTGTATACGGGGCTGTGCTGTGATTTGTAAGACTTATTCATGATTAAGCCCATGTAAGGAGATTCTGAGACCATTGGATGTATCTGGACCCTTTGATCACATCCTCCTTCCCTCCTCACCATTGTTCTTTTTTTTTTCTTTTTTTTTGGTCTTTTTGAGACAGGGTGTCCCTGTAGCCCCAGCTGTCCTGGAACTCACTATGTAGACCAGGCTGGCCTTGAACTCACAGAGATCCGCTTGCCTCTGCCTCCTGAGTGCTGGATTAAAGGCGTGTACCACCATACCTGGCACCATGGTTCTTATTGACAGAGCTCAGTGCCCTGTCAGTGAGTGAGAGAGGGGAAGAGTTGATAGTCAGTTCTTAATAGAATTGCAGTGACAGGGAGGGATGGGTACCTGGAAGAGATGGTAGGGAGAGTTGGGACCTGGGGCTCTGACTCCCTCTGGAGGAAACACTTGTAATTAGTCTTGAAGAACTATATCTCAGAATGATATATTTATGTGCTTTGGTGTTTGTGCCTAAAGCTGACTGGATGCCAGAGCTGGGAACAGAGATAAGGACTTGATTCTGCAGTGAGGCTAGAGGCCTTTTTTCATCAGGGCTGCTAAGAATTGCCCTATCTCTAAACAGTACTTGCCATGGTAACAGGGCCATAGGTCTGGGCTCTCCATCTACTTGCAGCCCTTTCTGTCTTGTCATTTTTGGTAACTGTCAGCTTGCTTCCTCTAGCCAGGGAATTCAGGGCACTGTCCATCCCTGGTCTTCCACATATGTGATTAATCTGTTTGTGCAGCAGACTTTTCTCTGAGCAAAGGCACTAAGTTGCTTCTTAGAGACTCTGGGGACATTTTTCTCTGGTTCTACCATACTCTGGGGCCTTTTCCAGTGCTTGACGTGGAATAGCTTTAAACAATTTTCCTTACAAAGTCATGATTCTCTGATGAGTGTGGTATCTCACCCCTGCAATTCCAGTACCTGGGAGGCTGAGGTGGGAGGATCACTGTGAGTTCAGTGCCAGCCTGGGATATGTAGTTAGGTCTTGGTCACCCTGGGCTTCAGAGGGAGACCTTGCCACAAACAATAGACAGAAAATCATGGCTCTCAATTTATTAGAATTAATCTCTTTTACAGGTCTCCAAAACAGATCCATCCCCGAAGAGGGAAGCACCTACCATGATTCTTTTTAACGTGGTATTTGCATTGAGGGTGAGTGTTTGCACAAGTGGTTAGATCAGGAAGGAAGATCTGAGGGAGAAGAGCCCATGTCCAGTGAGTTTGCCATCAACTCAGAGCTCGGACTGTGGGCGTGGCCCTTCTGGTGTGCAGGCAGAACCAGCTCATTGAACCTCCTCTTCTTCCTCAACTTTTTAATAAAATATACATAACATAAAATAATATATAATAATATATTACTAAAATATACATAACTTTTTAATAAAATACAATAACAATATTTATTTTATTAGCATTGGTAGGGATAAAACCTAGGGCCGCATGCATATTAGGCAAGCACTTTATTACTAGACTATATCCCTAGCCCCCAGTTTTCACCATTTTAAAGTGGACAGTTTGCCAGGGTGGAGAGATCACTCAGCGGTTAAGAGCACTGAATGCTCTTGCAGAGGACCCAGGTTTGATTCCTAGCACCTTTGTGGCAGCTTACAACTGTCCACAACTCCAGTTTCAGGGGATCCAATGGCCTCTTCTGTCCTCTGAGGGCATTGTATGACATGGGTACACTTACACAGATGCAGGCAATACACATACACATCAAATAAAAATAAAATATAAAGTGGACAGTTTTCTGATTTTAGTGGTACTCACCTGTAGTCCCAGCACTCAGAAGACTGAGGCAGGAGAACAGCCCGTCTTTTGTCCCAGAAATCAAGGCATTTCCTTGCTGTCACTTTCTGTACACAAACTGCTGTGCAGATCACATGTGCTCAACTAGAAAATCCTGACTGGATTCTTGGGTGAAACCTTGATAGTGGGATATTTCAGAGGAATTGCATTATTTAATATCATGGAGCACAAATTTCCCAGGTACTTTCATGTCCCTTCAAAATGTAAGACACAGATCCCTTAAATACACACACACACACACACACACACACACACACACACACACAGAGGAGAGAGAGAGAGAGAGAGAGAGAGAGAGAGAGAGAGCGAGAGCGAGAGTGAGAGCGCTGGGTGTGGTGGTGTATGCCTATAATCCCAGCACTTAGGAGGCAGAAGAAGAGACATGGATCTCTGTGAGATTGAGGCCAGCCTGGTCTACATAACAAGTTCTAGGGTAGCCAGGGCTACAGGGAGACCCTGTCTTAAAACAAACCAAAACAAACAAAACACAGAACAAACCAACAAAACAAACTAAACCCAATAAGACAACCCCCCCCCCCCAAGAAAAACCCAAAAAACTACAAATGAAAACAAATACTTTGTCTGGGTTAAGAGTAGCGCTCAGTACATCGCTTAACTAGCAGTGTGCAAAGTCTTAGCACTTCAAATAAAGAAGCAAAAGCCAACAAAACTTGTTAAATTTGTGAATGGTTGCTGACCTTCAACCTCAGATGTTGCTCTTTACTTTCTGCTTGATCATTTTTTTTTTTTTTTTTTTTTTTTTTTGGTCTTTTTGAGACAGGGTCTCCCTGTAGCCCCAGCTGTCCTAGAACTCACTATGTAGACCAGGCTGGCCTTGAACTCACAGAGATCTGCCTGCCTCTGCCTCCCAAGTGCTGGGATTAAAGCCGTGCACACCACCCCACCTGGCCTTGATTCTTTTTTTTTTTTTTTTTTTTTTTTTTTTTTTTAAAATTAGGCTCTCATTCTATAGCCCAGACTGACCTTGAACTCATAACAGTCCTCCTGCTTCAGCCTCCTGACCCAAATGGGGGAAAGGCCACAACCTGGAGAAGTACAGAGTAAGATTAAAGCAGCAGGGAACAAGATATTGAAAGTAGGAGAAAAGTTAAGTGTTAGAAAGAATTGCTATGTTCACTGGCTGCTCTTGCAGAGGACCCAGGTTCAGTTCCCAGCACCCACATGACAGCTAACAGCTGTCCATAACTCCAGTTCCAGGGGATCAAGGCCCTTTTCTGATCTCCATGGGCACTGCACAACACAGGTGCACTTACAGTACATGCAATACCTTCATACACAAATTTAAAAAAATAATAATTGTTTTTTTAAAAAAAGAACTATTTTTAGGGTAGCTAAGTCTTCAATAGTTATTTTAAAATATTCATTTTTCTTTTGCTTTGAAAAGTTTTAATTAAACCTTATCTGGAAATAATAGCTTGACAAACTCATAAAACTCATGTGCCCATCTCTGAGGACCCACAGCCTTGTACCTTGTCTCCATTTCTTTTTGCCCCTTTGTATTTCAAAGCAAGGCCCAGGCCTCATGTCCGTTTTTTTTTTTTTTTTTTTTTTTTGAGACATGGTTTTGTATAGCCCAGGCTAGCCATGAACTTCCTATGTATCTGGGGATGACCTTGAACTCCTGATCATCCTGCCTCCATCTCACAAAAGCTGAGATTACCAGTGTGTACTCCAATGCCTGGTCTATGTCCATTCATTATTCTATTAAAGATATCTATACAAAGTAATGGATATTTTATGCTGTAATATTCTTTTTACATCTGACAAAATTTACCTTAATAGTTGATGTTAACTAGTACCTGTCTATTAAAACTTCCTGATTGAGAAAATATTTTTTCCGGTTGGCCTGTGAGAGCCAAGATGAAAGCCCCACTTAGTGTATATGGTACCTCTGTCTCTGCCAGTCTTGACCTGTCCCTCTCATTGTCCCATCACATTTTTCACATCCAATTTGTCTCATTGGGCATTCTGCTAGACTTACTTCCTGTCTCTCTGTCCTGAAGACTAGAAGTTAACTTTGAAGGTGTTATATTTGGATTCAAGCTTTTGAGGGCTAGAAAGTCCCACTGGTGATATTGCAGTAAACTTTGTGCTGCTTTCTCTTCTGTACCGTGAAAATATGCTTTGTTTGTTTGAGATGATGTCCTGTAGCCCAGGTTGGCCTCAAATTCCATACATAGCCTTGAATTCCTTAATCCCCCCCTCCTCTGCCTCCCAAGTGCTGAGATTATGGCTTGCAAATGTCCCAGTAATGCCTGATACATTCTAGGTAGCAGCTTTATCAGCCTGTTGCCTGCACAGCCTTGTGTCCAAGATCACACTCTTCTTGCTTTTCTAGTGAAAGTATTTTTACACAGATCTTCCAAATGTGTATTTTGTTTTGAGGAAATTATATTATTTAAATCAACCATTTGAGGATATGATCAAGGGGATACCCTAGACATGAAGAGGTCAGGGCAGACTGCCTGCTTGCAGATCTGCCCAAATGCTAGTTATGTTTGTGGGATCTATTGAGAATGCAGAAATCTTTTCCCAACTCCTGATGAACAAAGTGTTGTCTAGGTAAAGTTTGTCCTAAAATCAACAGGCACAGCCTTACCTGGTGAATAAACAGGATGGGGAAGCAACACCAGAGGTTCTAATCAGTGGTGCCATTTGCCCCTCTCCCTTCTTACCCTGTACCCCCAAAGTATTACTCAGCAGTCCTGGTGGCCTCCAGAAACACTGAGTCATGTTTGGCTCAGTTATCTGCTCCCACAGGCCTCTCCACAGATCCCACAGTGGCTTGCTCCACCCTTGGCCTGGGTGTGTACACCTGCTGGTTGACTGTGACCTCTGATAGGTTTCAGAGGGGTGAGGGACACTTCTGACCTGAGACCTTCTGTGTGCTACTTGACCTAGTCAATGTGGGTACAACAGACACTGGAGAGGGATGTGGAACTGGCGCCTGCTGGTTCTCTGGTTAATTTAGGTTTTCTTCGCTGGTTGTCATTCTTGAGGACAGACATACTCTGCAAAGTAATACTTCGGTTATTGTACTGTGTGTCTGTTACAGTGTGGTCTGTAATTGTGACTAAATTCTTACATATTGTAGGCCAGCCATGTCCATGAATGGTCAGTGCACAACAGTGATCACAGACACCTCTGGAGTTTTGTTCAGGGCAGGCTGTGTTCCAAGTGCTGTATGTGTTTAACTAGTTGCCTCTGCTTAGCTGTTGGTTGTCCTTCCTCAAATGAGGACCTGTGACCCGGGATCACATAGCAGTCAGTAGGATCTGTGTCCTCAGCTGTACCTTGCTTTCCTATACAGTCCTAGCATGGTGGGAATGTGTGTCCCCCACAGAGGACTTCCATGGAGTCATCTCCTTAGCTATCTAGACAGCAGTTCCCAAGGCTAGAAGATGGGGCTGTCAGCTAGCCCATAGTGGCCCATGAGGAGAAGCCTGGTGGAATGGAATGGAGAGGGCATCTTTCATGTTTACGCTTTTGCTGTGCACATGTATTAGCTCCATTTAAACTATGTGTCCCTGTGAGCATGTTTTGAGTCTGTCTGGCCTTTCTCATGCAGGCCAATGCTGACCCATCAGTGATAAATTGTCTGCACAACTTGTCCCGGCGCATTGCTACTGTGCTGCAGCATGAGGAGCGCCGCTGCCAGTACCTCACCCGAGAGGCCAAGCTGATCCTAGCGCTCCAGGATGAAGTGTCTGCTATGGCTGATGGTGAGTGCAGCAGGCCTGATGGCTTTTTTTTGTGTAGGATCTCTAGAGGGCCAGTTAGTCACTATGCTTTGTTTTGAGGCAATTGTGATATGCTGTAAATTGACCCTTCAGTTCCAGGGACACTATTAAGGAGATGCCCTAAACATCAAGGGGCAGGCTTGCTGCCTGGTTGAAAGTGTGATCAGATGCCAGTTCTGTTTGTGAACTTGGGATATACTGTAAGTACAGAGAATCTCTCCACCTCCAGGAGCTTTTCCCATTCCACAGAGCAGTCAGGAGCTAACCATAGCTTTGGCTTTTTGGTGAGCTGAACATTGGAGAGGAAGTCCTTTTAGCAGTTGGTAAGCAGAGATTGGCTCAGAGAAGTTACAGGATCTTCACATTGAGTTGATCATGCTCAGGGGGCACAGGAGGGTTCATCTAGAAGTTCATTTTAGAGCTACTTTCCTTAATGAATGTACCTAAATCTATTTCCATGGAAACATTCTCCTACCCTACATACTGTATGATTACCCTTCACTAGAATAGGCACCTCTGCCTGGCATTGGTCCTGCTGGACATGTTGCCCTGGGGTGGGAAGAGTCAGGGAGGGGTTAATGAGAGCATCCAGCTGGTGAAATGGGTGATTTTTGTACTTCACTTTTAACTAAATTGAAGGAGAACAGGTAGATGAATCTCTGTGAGATTGAAGCCAACCTGATCTACATAGCAAGTTCCAGGCCAGCTGGGGCTACAGGGAGATCCTGTGTCAAAACACCAAAAACAGGGCTGGCGAGATGGCTCAGCGATTAAGAACACCGACTATACTTGGCAGAAGACCCGGGTTCAAATCCCAGCACTCACATGGCAGCTAACAACTGTCTGAAACTCCAGTTCCAGGGGATCCAATGGCCTCGTCTATCCTCAGAGGGCATTGCACGACACTGGCGTACTTACATATATGCAGGCAATCCACACACATAAAATAAAAATAATAAATAAAATATTAAAAAACAAAAACAAATAAACAAATTAAAGGAGAACCTAATTATCAACTAACCAGTTATAAAAAAGTCTTTACTGGTAGAGCACTGCAGAACTTTTGGTATGTCCAAAGGGAGACTTAACATATGCTGTCTCCTTTGCCTAAGGTTAGCAGCTAACTATAGAAGAATAAGGAATAGAAGTCAGATCTGGTCTTCAGATCTGCCATAAAGGAAAGCAGCAGTGGTCATATACAAATTAACAACAAAGAGTCCTGTCTGATTCTAATGTATTTTCAGTAAAAATTTACTTTTACTTATTTTTTAAATTTATTTTTTATTTTATGTGTATAAGTGTATTGCCTGCATGTATGTGAGTGTACCCGTGTCATGCAATGCTGCGGAGGTCAGAAGAGGGCTTTGGATTCCCCTGGAACTGGAATTAAGGACGGTTCCTAGCTGCCATGTAGGTGCTGGGAATCGAACCCAGGTCCTCTGCAAGAGCAGTCAGTGCTCTCAACCGCTGAGCCATCTCTCTAGCCCCTTATTTATCTTTTTTTATTTTATGTGTATGCTTGTATTGCTTGCATGTAGGTAAGTGTACCCGTGTCATGCAATGCCCTTGGAGGTCAGAAGAGGCTGTTGGATCCTCTGGGACTGGAGTCACAGACAGTTCTTGGCTGCCATGTGGGTGCTGGGATTTGAACCCAGGTCTTCTGCAAGAACAACCAGTGTTCTTAACCACTGAGCCATCTCTCCAGCCCCAACTTTTAATCTTTGATAATTGGCTGTCAAACTTGTAGTATAGCTGAGTGTGGTGGCAGATACCTTTAATTCCAACATTGCGAGATCCTCTCTAAAACAGCAACAAAACAAAAAACCCATGTTTGCATTTCTGTTAAGTATGACAGTAAATAATTCAGAAGTTTTTCTTTTTCCTTTTTTGTGTTTTTTTTTTTTGTTGTTGTTGTTTTGTTTTTTGAGACAGGGTCTCATTATGCCCTGGCTGGCCTGGAACTCACTATATAGACCAGGCTGGCCTTGAGATTCATTGGTCTGCCTCTGCCCTTTGAGTGCCAGGAATAAAGGCTAGCCACCACGCTTGACAGGATGTGTTGATTTTTATAGTAAGTTTCCTGATGTTTAACATTACTCAAAAAATTTTTGAAGCTGAATTTGTTCTAAAGATATTCCCTGTTTTGGCCTCTGCATGTTACTTTGCATTGGAAGCTCTAAATCCTTACCTGTTGTGATTCCTTATAGCAAATGAAGGTCCTCAGTCCCCATTCCATCACATCCTACCCAAGTGCAAGCTGGCCAGGGACCTCAAAGAAGCTTATGACAGGTAAGACAAGGACATACTTGCTGAATCTCCTCGTCTAGTGTCAACTTTCCCAGGCCTCCAGAGCCAAAGAGCCCCATACATGAGGCTGCCATAGACTGGGTACCATTCTGGTTTGTGTGTCATGGAGCTCTGCTGAGTGAGATAGGGACAAGTTAAGGAAGAGAAAGCTGTGTGGTCACTCTTAAGAAAAGCCATCTTGCATGCTTTTAATCCCACCACTCAGGAGGCAGAGGCACTCAGATCTCTCTGATTAAGACTGGTCTACAGTCTCCATAGTAAGTTCCAGGACAGCTGGGACTATAGGGAGACCCTATCTTAAAAAGACCAAAAAAAAAAGCTATCTTGGTGTCCATTTTTCAAATGTCAGTCTCTTTGTTGATATGTGCTCAGCTCTTTGTTGAGTGGTATGTGCTCAGCTGGGATGATTACTTCCAGATTCCTCTTAAACAGAAACAGCTGTAGCTGGAGAGATGACTCAGCTGTTAAGAGCACTGGCTGCTCTTGCAGAGGACCTGGGTTCAGTTCCCAGCACCCACATGGCAGCTAACAATCATCTGTAACTCCCATTCCAGGGGATTTGACACCCTTTTTTGACTTCTGTGGGTTTGCATGCAAGTTGGTGCCCTTACACACATGCAGGCAAAACACTCAGACACATAAAATAAAAACAAATAAATAAATAAAACAGAAGCAGTCTAAAATTCTTCATGAGAGCCTAGAAATAGTTTTGAATCACCAAACACGAAGTAACATTTCATTGACCCAACATGATTTAATGCCAAGTTGCCCTCCTTCATTAAGGAGGGCTTCTTTGTCACCTTTTCACCCATGATGAAATCAAGGCTCAGTGGGTAGAGCTGGAGTTGGTTGTGGTAGTCTGTGCTCTAGGGGAGTTGGAGTTTGAGACACCGAGTATTTGAGGACAGCAAACATTGGGGACATAATGGAAACCTTGTGTTGATTTGATTATATTGGTGACTTAAGTACCAACTTTATTAAATCTATACAAAATGTGCTGGGCATGGTGGTGCACACTCTTGATCTCAGCATTGGGTGACAGAGGTAGGTGGATGGATCTCTGGGAGTTCAAGGCCAGGATGATTTACGTAGTGAGTTTCAGGATATCCAGGGCTGTATAATGAGACCCTGTCTCAACAACAACAACAGGTACACACACACACACACACACACACACACACACACACAGAGAATGATTAAGTTCCGCCCCACCTTTATTTTAGATAGAATTTCACTAAGTGGTCTAGGCTGGCCTAGACCAGTCCTCCTGCTGAAATTACAAGTCTGTGACACCATGTCTGGCCTGCCCTTTCCTTTCTTCCTTTCTTCCTTCCCTCCCTTTCTCCCTTGCTATTTTTTTTCTTTCTTCTTTCTTTGTTTCTTTTTCTTTTTCTTATTTTGAGACAGGATCTCACTGTATAGCCCTGGCTGGCTGGCCTGGAGCCCACTGTGTAACCTGACTAGCCTTGAACTCAAAGGAGTCCACCTGCCTCTGCCTCCTGAGTGCTGGGATTAAAGGTGTATGACCTATTTTTCTTTTTCTTTTTCTTTTCTTTTCTTTTCTTTTCTTTTCTTTTCTTTTCTTTTTTCTGCTGTTTTTGAGACAGAATCTCCCTATAGCCCCAGCAGGCCTGGAACTTGCTTTGTAGACCAGGCTAACCTTGAACTCTTAGAGATCATCCGGTTTCTGCCTCCCAAGTGCTGGGATTAAAGGCATACACCACCATACTTGGTCTCCTTTTTCTTTTTTTAAATAAATGTTTTGTGCTGGGCATGGTGGCACACACCTTTGATCCCAGCACTCGGGAGGCAGAGGCAGGCGGATCTCTGAGTTCAAGGCCAGCCTGGTCTACATAGTGAGTTCCAGGACAACTGAGACTACAGGGAGACCTTGTCTCAAAAAGACCAAAAAAAAGTTTTGTTTACTATTTTTATTTTATGTGTATGAGTGTATTGCTTACATGTAGGTAGGTGCTCCCATGTCTGACCACCCTTGGAGGTCAGAAGAGGGCGTTGGATCCTTTGGAACTGGAGTTACTGACAGTTGTTAGCTACCATGTGGCTGCTGGGAGTCAAACCTGGGTCCTCTGCAACAGTGGCCAGTGCTGTTTTTTTTTTTTGTCTTTTTGAAATGGTCTCCCTGTAGCCCCAGGTGAACTGAAACTCACTGTATAGACCATACTGGCCTTGAACTCACAGAGATCCACCTGACTCTGCTTCTGAGTGCTGGGACTAAAGGCGTGCATGACCATGCCCAGCACCATTTCTCCAGGTCCAACTTCTTTTACTTTTTTTTTTAATTTTATGTGTATGAGTGTATTGCCTTCATGTAAGTGAGTGTACCCGTGTCATGCAATGCTGTGGAGGTCAGAAGAAGGCTTTGGATTTCCCTGAAACTGGAGTTAAGGATGGTTTGCAGCTGTCATGTGGGTGCTGGGAATTGAACCTGGGTCCTCTGCAAGAGTAGTTAGTGCTTTTAACTGCTGAGCCATCTCTTCAGCCCCCCAACTTCTTTTACTTTTTAAAATTTATTTGTTTTTATGTGTATGAGTGTTTTGCATGCTTGTAAGTGTACCACATGTGTGCAATGCCCACAGAGGCCAGAAGAGGACGTTGACCCCTGGAACTGGAGTTACAGAGGATTATTAGCCACTGTATGGGTGCTGAACCTGGGTTATCTGCAAGAGCAGCCAATACTGTTAACTGCTGAGCCATCTTTCCAGTCTCAGACCTCTTATTCTTTCTGTCTGATCACTGGTCAGTGACCTTGAGTCTTAGGGCCGGCTATGGCTCCTCCCTGAAGCTGCAGCTCAGGGAGCCCTGCCTGGAACCTTTCCTACTCCTGAAACCTCCAGTGTCCATTTACATAGTGCATTGTCATCCACAGCAAAGGGCCCACATAGAACCAAGCATGTTGCTGGGCAGGTAGTACATCTGACCCAGACCTCTCTCCTTAGTGCAGACCTCTTCAGGCATCTCTGCCTCCCTCTTTTGTGTCATCCTGTCTTCTGTCCCTCTTCTCCCTCATTCTTTGCTCTCTTATTTTCCCACACTCCACTCTCCTTTGTCCTGTGTTCAGCTGGATGTCGCGC